AAAGTCTCATCAAGTCCAAGGTCATCTTGCTCTGCAGCTTTGCCCACTTGCTCACTATTCATGAAAAAATGTGTCTAAAATTATACTTTACCTGAGTAGCTCATGCTGTAACAACTATTGGGAGTGGTGAGGGACTCCGTGACTCATTCAAGCTGAACATGGACAGGAAAACCATATAAAAAACAGAGTCTGTCCCACAGAGAAACAGAAGCCATGGTGGTACTTGTGTAATCGTTTGACATGGTCTGTTAAGAGAACAGATACAAATTATGAACAGATACTGATGATGTTTAAACTGGTTTATTATCGTGGCATATTTTTTTAATTATATTTTTGGAAAATGTGCAAAGAGTCTAAGAGGGAAGATAAAGCTTATTATGCCAAAAAGTTATAAAAATAGCTCATTCTGATTTTTGCCCATCTCATAATCTTCTGAGGCCTGCTTCAAATTGAAGGCTCCTAAAAGCAATATTTTGCTCTTACTATTTCTAGCGAGACTTTTACAGAAATCATCCTAAAAAGCCTTCATTCAGCCATTTGTCTAGCTAAATTTGTAATGTAGAAACAATCTGCTTTGGGAGCCAATTCATCCCTGGAGGAAATGGGTATTGTAGTCAGTCAATGAGATTGCCCCTACTTACACCACAGATAAATGTGTTGCTTTGTCACAACGTTTCTGCTTTGCAATAATTTCACATTCCAAATTATAAACCTCTGAAAATTGTAGATTATGAATGTGCTGACACAACTTCAACTGTTATAGTAAATGGCATTGCTCTAATAATGAAATAAAAAATCCTACTTAATCCCATTCTTTCCCTAAAGTGGTGTTTTGCATTAGCTATGGATGAAAAGACAAACAAGTACATGTATATTCAATAATAATGTCAGCTGGGTCAGAGAAGAATAGAAAATAAAATTAATTCATAACAACTCCAGAGATAGCTTTCTGATACAGGCAGTTTTCTCTTTGATTTGCCCTCATTGAGAGTATTCATTGTAATTTTAACATAGCCACCAAATTAGCCTTTATTAATAGCTGTCCTGATCTTAAATAACAAATATACTATGTCATCTCCAGCCCGGGTGTTTCTGAGGTGAACAATTATTTCGAGCAGAATAGATCATATGGTATTTACAGGGGTCTCTCACTCAAGAGGGCCTAATTTCATGTTCAGACCATCCAGACAGTGTCTCGGAGAGCTGTAGATACAGAGCTCTTCTGTCTCAGGGCCTTGAGGCTGAAATGGGTTACCTGTCTTGATATCATAGTGAAATAGTCATGTTGGATTAAGGTTGCTGGCAATCTTAAAAACCCCTTATTGGGCTTTGAGTGCAATCAGATGCTACTTGCTTATAAATGAGAGTTAATAGAAACATTAAACACTACAAGCTACTGTGACCTATATCTTCAGAATATTAAGCACATTTTAAAATTGTGGAAGACCTCTAGGCCTCTGTGTTCTGTAAAATATTGCCTCTTCTAACCAGTATTCTCTGGGAGCAAGCTATTTGATATCTTCAGCATTCTACTTTCATTTGCAAATACTGTGTGTTTTTAATTTATTCTCTCAGTTCTCTGGCTACCATATATTTATTGTTGATACAATACTCAGTTTCTCTTTAATTATTCCATCTGCCAGGAGAGTGTGATGCATTTTATAATCTGGGTGGTTTAGTTGTTTAACCTTTGAGTTTTGGAACTGAATGGAATGACATATTCTTCATTTAGCAGAACAGGCTAAGAAGAATTATATACTCCAAGTGATAAGCTTGGAACTGCTAAAGAAATACCAAAATCCAATTTTTTTCCTCTCTCTAGTCATCTAAACATCCATTAGTCTCTTGAAGGGAACTCATAAATCCTGCAAATTTAGTTTATCTGAAACCAACTCTAACAGTTGTCCTTCCTACTAATCATGTTTTATATCAATTTTATATTTTTCAATATTCAATAAACATGTCTTGTGCTTACTGTACTTGTTAGAAAGTGTCTGCAGTAGAGGCTGTATGAGGACAGTTATTAATCAGCCATTTCGGATGGCTGTAGGGTTAGTTTAGTAAGTGTATCTATTTATCTTTTTTATGTTTTCTTCTTTGTTCTTTCCATTTATCCAATATGGAATTTCTTTCGTCCTTTTTGGTTTATTTCTACCAGGGTATGTCAAAAAGGAATTTAACATGTAACAAATGAAAAAAAAAAAAAAAAACACAACAAAAAAAACCCAACCACCCAATAGCTGAAAGAAAAAAAAAAACACACACCACCCTTTGGGTTTCATTCATGAAGAGATCCTTTGCATTATGTCCTCTTAGATCTGCATTAATATATAACAATAGAGAGCATTATCTAGCAATGCTGCTTTAAAGCAGTGGATAATTTACACATTAAAGTGAGATGTAGGTTTAAAAGTAGGAGTGTAGAATTGGAGGTAAGAGTCAGAATGATATAGTCCTGTATGAAAATGATCTTGGTTTCCTGGGGGTATTGTCCTTCTGGTGTAATGAGACTTGCAGATAACAATCAGGGACTGTGGATAGATCGAGGTACGGTGATACATTGAGAATGGCACAGCAAGTATTGGCTCTGGGGAAACAAATGGACGTGTCTGCTAGATAAACAGCATTAAAAGTTTCTGTTCATCAGCAAATTCCAGGCCTCTAAAGATTAATAATTCCTGAAAAATAGTGTATTGGGTTTGCATGGCAAGGTTTTGGTAGCAGGGAGGCTTCAGGGGTGGCTTCCGTGAGAAGCTGCCAGAAGCTTCCCCCGTGTCTGACAGAGCCAATGCCAGATCCAAGACACCCACAACTGGCAAAGGCCAAGCCCATGGTAGCACATCTGAGATAACAGATTTGAAAAAAGGGAAAAAAACGCTGTGCAACAGCAGCTGGAAGAGACAAGTGTCAATATGTGAAAGAAAAAGCTCTGCAAGCACCCAGGCCAGTGCAGAAGGAGGGGCAGGAGGTGCTCCAGGAGCCAGAGCAGAGATTCCCCTGCAGCCTGTGGTGCAGCCCATGGTGGGGCAGCTGTGCGCCTGCAGCACATGGGGGTCCACGGGGGAGCAGATCCACCTGCAGAGTGGGATGAGCTGACCATAACTCCCATTCCTCATCCCCCTGCACCAGTGGGGAGGAGAAGGCAGAGAAAACTGGCAGTGAAGTTGAGCCCAGGAAGAAGGGAAGCACATGGGGAAGGTGTTTCGTGATTTGGTTTTATTTCTGCTTGTCCTACGCTGATTTCATTGCCAGTCTTTCTAATTGATTTCCCCAGATCGAGTCTGGTTTGCCTGTGATGGTAATTGCTGAGTGATCTCTCCCTGTCTGTATCTTGATCCACAAGCCTTTTGTTATGTTTTCTCTCCCCTGTCCGGACAAGGAGGTGAGAGATAGAGCAGCTTTGGTGGGCACCTGGCGTCCAGCCAAGGTCAACCCATCACAAATCCTGGCTTTTAGAAGATTTTTTTATCCGTGCTACCGTCGTACTTTTATGGGTTCACGTATTACAGGGAGGCACTGGCCATTTATCAGGATGTTAATGACTAGTAGTTATGTGTCCAGATACTTTGTAACCACTGGGCTGCCCGACAACAGAGGTCACTGGAAGACAGATTACTTACAAACTGGTTTAGAGATCTCCTTCACTTTCTTTTTTTAAGATCCCCATCAGGGCTTCAACTACTCTGATATTTCTACATCGGGATTATTGCCTCCTCTTTAAAATTCCTTGTATCAGGAGGCTTCCGTGATTTACTCGTAGTCCTCAAACAAAAAAACTTCCTAACAGAGCATCCATTGATTGCTACAGTTATTTAAAGGCTAACAATAAAAAATCATAGACTTCAGTCTCCATCAAGGCAGAAAGGAAACAATAATTGCAATTTGCAAGCCTCCTGCCGTGGGTTAAAGTAGCTCAGGATGGCAGAAAGGGAGCTCCGCAATTTTAGTGGCTGTCACAGCTGGGTGAGATGTGCTGATTCATTCACACGTCATTCTGTGATAAGACAATTTGTCAAGGTGAAAAGATGGGTGTGAGGTAGAAGTGTGCCCAAGGAATATCAGCTCTGAGGAGGACCACTAGATAAAAGCATGAATATGTGGGAAGCTGTACAGGAGTGTATTTGGTGACTGCTAGTCATGTCTCTTCAGGTTGACAGGCCTCAAAAGAAAAGACCTTTTCTGTCTCTGTAACAGCAAATAATATGGTTTCTTACCCTGTGTATTTTTCCATACCAAAGTGTTGGATTAAAAAAAAAAAAAAAGACAAGTAATATGGGTGGTAATGTGGTAATGTACATTATTCAACTCTTTCTTCTGCCAAAGAAAGAGCCATAGGGGCAGCCACATTTTTTAGGAATATCCTTCCCCTTTAACCAAGGGCAGGGAGCAGTCCTGTGAGATTTCTCTGTATTATAAAATAAGTAAGTAAAAATGGGGATATGAACCATCAGATTCCTGGGTTAGAAAATGTTTGCCTTTGGATACTAACAACTGTGAGGTCCCATCAAACCCCAACCAAGCACCTCCTCCTCCTGCTGTTCTCCATTCTGCATTCCCAGTTTGGTAAGGTGGGGATTGGTACCACTCTCAAAGAAAACTGGTGGTGCCCTTAATCAAGAATGAAACATGGATGACTTTTTCTCAGTTTTTAGCAGCCCCAGAGCTGATTTTCCCTCTGGGTTTAAAAATACACATAGGTATATATGGACTAATCACCGTGAGACAATGTGCAAATAGAAGAGGACATGAAAGAGGAGCTGACTGCCAAACTTCATGATGGATTAGTCTGAAAGTCATTTGCTCTTCCCTAGCACCACACATAAGGACTAATACATACATACATGGAGTATTCATCAGTTTACTTACCACAGGTCTGATTTTACTTGTGTTGAATTGAAAGAGAACTTTTCCTCTGACTTTGCTGAGGTGCAGATTTAGCCCATTGTACGTCAAGTTAATTCATTAAATGTAACTCTGTGTTGTCTCTCCTTTTTTTTCAGAATGCTTGAGGATGATCTGAAACTCAGCAGTGATGAAGATGACAGTGAACAGGTAAATACACCTGATATAAAAGCACAGACCTTATAATCTGACAGTTATTTCATTGGTTGGATCTGATTGTGTGTTGGTTTACTATATTTGCATCAAAAGCATTTTGGGGTGCTGCAGAATCCATTATCTAAAATCTTGTTTGCTTCCTTCCCATGGGAGGAAGCTTATTCTCAAATAGGAATGCATTTGGGCAGTTTTGTTTGTAAAGTTTGTGAAAATGAAACCAAAACATGTCTTACTAACCTTGGAATTAGAGACTACATGTGGCATCACCCATGTCAGCCAATGTGTTCTGAATTTCTGTCCTCCATGGTACCAAGTTAGCCAGGGAACAGCCTCCACTTGCTTTGCACTCAATTTGTGAATTGACAAGCTTTCTGGAAGTGGGTGTAAAATGACTCCATCAGACCACAAAGACAACTACAGAATTGGCTTGTGCTTTGCAATTCGTTTATACAATTGCACACAAGAAGATTGGGTCCATAAGTTTTTGTTCCAGTCAGTGAGTAAAGGGTTGGGAGTCCACAGCCAGTAGTCCAGTGATTCCCATTTGTGAGAGCAAAAAATCCTCAGCATGTAGCTGTAAATCAATACTGAAAGTCTTTCAACCTACTTGGGATGTTAATGAAGAATCATTTTCAGAAAACTGGCTCATGTCATTCTCTATGCTTCCCACTTTATAAATATTTATGGATAATACTGGGAAAGAATGCTGTTTAAATTCATATTCTCAAAATTCTTATCAGAAGAAAAATGAAACTTTGGGTTAAATTCATCCTTCATTTGACTTTATATATGCAATAGCCTCAAATGTTTAAATTTCTGCAATAGAGAGGAAAGTAATGCTATAATTCAGCATAGGATCATCTGTTCAGTCTGGGAAATGTTAACAATAAGTGAGTCTTTCTTTCTTATTTATTTTTAAACCACCTAAATGTTCTCCTTCACCCTACCTAATCCATCCTTTAGGGTCATGCCAGGAAAGATTTACCTTCTGGTGAAAACTGACCCCTTATTCATACAAGTCAGTATTTTTTAGCACTGAGTTAGACTTGCACTCTCATCTGAAACCAAAGGGTCAAAATCCTGTACTTGTGCAACGTGCTGTTGTGCAAACCTGCTGGCTTATGGCACCTTCAGGTTTCCTGTTCTACTGGAAATTTGCCCAAATAGTCCTGCAAAATGACATTGTGATACTGAGATACCTAAAATACAGAAATAGAAATATATTATCGGGTAGCAGTTACTGTTGTTTTCCTCAGCTGCTCCTCATCAGACTTGTGCTCCAGGCCCTTCCCAGCTCCATTGCCATTCTGGCAGGGAGAGAAAAGATTAAAACTCTCAGCTCAAAACCATTCTAACAGTTTATGCAGCGTTTCTATAAGGAAATGGAATCATTGTCTTTACAGTCTTTATGATTTCTTTCTGCTATAAGCTGGCAGCCAATGTGAAACATGAGCTAGCATTTACTCATTTTTGTTAATAAGAACAGTAGGTAAAAATCAAGTTTGTTCCCTTGATTTCTACTCTTGTTTCAAGGAAATTGAAATTCTTTGAGAGCAGTGGTCATTAGGGAACTCTAGGATTTGTCCTTTGAGAATTGCTAGGGACCCTTCATATTTTACATGGCAGGGTAGTAGTGACACTGATCCATAGATGCACTTTGATCTCAACTTTTAGTGAAGGTCTACAGTATGTGGAGAGAGTTTGATCTATCAGCCTGTCTTCTGAGACTACTAGTAGTCCATTTGTCATGGTGGAAGATTGTTAGGAGCTTGGCTGCAAGAAACAAAACTCTTCTGTCTTCCTCCCTCACTCGTAAGCACCCTTATTTATGAACTGAACAAGCACCCTTATTTATGAACTGTACTGCAGTTCTTTAGGGGTCCGTGGGCCTCACACTCTTTCAGGTGTTAAACATCTTCCTTTTCTCCCCACTGCTGAGGAGAGACACAACACACATGATAGCTCCAGACAGTGATGTAACTAAGAATTTTGGCATTCACCTTTCAAACCTAATTTAGAATAACTGGAAATTACTCCTAAAAGTTATAAACATGATTTGGAGAACCCTCCTTAGTATAAGTGTTAGGTCTCTTTTGGTTGAGGCACACATGATGATGGCCTAGCAACATATCACCAAGAAAAAGATTCCTGAAAGGAGGCTGTACACTTTCATTTCATCCCAGAGGGCTTAAGAGGCTTCAGCAAGTAAGAGCTGACTGGAAAACCAACCTACTAGTGCCAAACTGCTGCAAATTGCATAGGAACTTGTGGTTTTATTTTCCTGTTAGCCTTCTGGCAGTTGTGGGCCTGATGCAGAAGTTGTCAAGTGAATTTCTTTGGGCTGTGACATGCTGTGACATGCAGGAGGTCCAGTGAGATGTTCATTGCAGGTCCCTTCAGTCTTCAGGTCTGTAAAGCTTTGGACCATATCGATCGTTGCAGATAGAGCGTGAGGCAAGTTACAGTCACTCCACCCCAGCTGCAAACTCCTGTTACCACTTTTTGGGCCTTGCAAGGAGACACTCATTTGCCACCTGCATCTAACACATGTCTTCAGTGCAGACACTCTGGAGGTGGCCATATGACACATGCTTTGTCCCATAGACAAAATGCTGGTTGTTATGTCTCATTGTGGATGATTTGGGATTAAAGATTAAAGACACACAGAAAACGATGGGTTAGATCTGGAATCAATTTTCATTTACAGCTGAGAAGCAGTTATTGATGCTGTGCTCACAGTTCAATAAAAGATCTAAAGATACAGACCTTGTGTTTCTCTTTCAATATAAGCGGCATAATCAGTGTCAAATGTTTTTACAAAGAAAATTGTATTGACAGTTTTATTAAAATTGCTGTCTTTAAAGTTTTAAGTTATCCACAATTTGACCTACTTGAATGGTTTTTAATATGCACACTGACCAACTCAATAGATTTTTATGTCACGTATTTATACCAGGTACACATCTGTTTAATTTATTATTTGAGAGATACTGTTACATTTAAGCATTGCCTGGTTTGCAAACTCTTGTGGTATTGTCACTGAGAGGAAGGTTGGAACATACATCAGTGTTGCATTCAGGAGTCCTATTGCAGAGTATGCTCAGATTGGCTACAAAAGATGCAGTCCAGGCAGATGACAGGCATGCTATTATTAAAACCATTAGATGACAAGGCATTTCAGAGATGCTAATGTTAACACTCTTCTCTGAGGAAGGACAGAGCTTTTAGATGGCTTCATTACTCTGTTAAAAAAAATACATCAGAAATTAGGAAGAGTAGTGAAGGTTTTTAATTAGTGGCTCAGTTCAGCTAAAAGAGCTTCGATAAAACACAGGTTAGTATTTTTGTTCTCTAAAGCACCTCTGTATAATTCAAATTAGCTTTGAGCTCAAAGGCATCCAAATGAGTTGTGCCTGGATACAGTATTTTAAGTAGCTGTAGTGTACCCAATTTTCTTTAACCAGCTCCTCTTTGTTCTTCTGCCTAAGGAATAGTCCTGTTAACCTTTTAAATGTGTACTTAATTTAAAGCACATTGCTAGCGTTCTGTGTGTTTTTGAACCAAAAAAACTTTGATACTAGTTACAGAACTGCTCCATTTTCAGTATTTTATGTGTATAGTAGTTTTGGCAAAACAAATCAATAAGATGTTCTTTCTTTTCTATTTGATTTTTTTTCTTCCTTCCCTTAGTAATTACCACTTTATTGCCACTTCTTTAATAACCCTACAAACAGAAGACATGCATGTAATTCATGGCCCTGCTCTATCATTTGTATTTTACACAAAGATAATTCTTTTTTGCTAGGTTAGTATTAGGTAATTCCATTCAAAATGTTTGACTTCGTATCTGAGTCTGAAAAGGTGATCAGCCATAGGCTGAGCTTTGAATTCTTAAAGTGCCTGCTGAGCTTTCAAAGCCTTTATTCAGGTTAATTTTTTTAAAAGTTTATGAAGTTCTAAGGCATAATATGCCTTCATCATATCACGTAAACACTTTTTGAAGTGCGACAGTGACCACTTTCCTTGTAACAATAGATATCCTTTCCTGTTGTATTTTCTCCCATTTTTTAGCTGCATCCTGAACAAGCTGTTTACCTCCCCAAGGTTTCCATTTACTTTGTTATCAGCAGAAAGGCTGAAGAACAGCTCTTCAGTAATGACATCAATACTGCACACACAGTGAGAGAGGTCATCTTGTCAAAGCTATAGAAAAATCAGATGGATTAGGATGAAACTAGGTGCAAAATAACTTTGATAGAGTCTTTTAATGTAAACAGTTTATCTGTCATTGGGTTCCATTGAAATCCCAGAGAGGTGCAGCATCAGTTGTAGCCACAGCAGCATGTGTTTTGATAAAGAACACACATTCCAGTGTTTAAGATCTGCAGTCACGTTTTATAATTGTAGGGAAATGTTTTCTTTAAGCCATTAATGAAAACAAAAACTATTAGGATAATACAGTCATTCTCCAACCTTGTCAGTCTTTAACCATGAAAAATCTTTTCATGCATATACATCCCTCCTTGCCACCTCAGTCCATTTTAATTGGTATTCAAATTATTTTTGATTTGAACACTAGTTGAACAACACTAATTGAAACAACAATGTATCGTCAACTGTGTAAGTTAATACTCCAGTTTCTGTTAGGCAAATCTTTGGAAGTAAGAGATTTGATGACTGACATGTCTAAGGTTATAATTCACATGGTAATGATGTAGGTTCATATCATTTGTTTATTATCAGCAGAAGCTTTCAGTAACCACTCTGAGATCTGGGCTGAGCTTTCTGCAAAAAGCACTGCACACCACTAAAATACACGGTGTTATCAAAAGCTTTTAACTTGTTCAAATTCACAGAATCACATGTGATTTTTTTCCACACATGTTGTTATTGTGGAGGTCATCCATCAGTGAGGAAGGGGATTAATACAGCCCTCAGGAAAAAATGGTTGCTGTAGAGTGCACAGTACTACAGATCAACAAGAAGGAGTTTGTCCCTGCAGGCTGCAGCCGTGCTCTTGTCTGGGCTCTGGGGCAGCAGCTGCCCAGACCAGGAGCTGGAGCAGCTCCATCCCTCCCACCAACTCACCTTTTCCATGGGTTGCCATGGGTTGACACTGGCAGCTCAGAGGCTCAAAAGCCCTCCACACAGTACAGAAAACAACACAGGAAAAGGAAATACTGGCAGGCAGGCAGCCCTAACAAAGTGGGAATTAAATGCCTTAGTTGAAAAGAAGTTTTACATGATACATTCTCCAGAAGTCCTCTCCTCACTGCCACACAAGCAGGCACTCCATAGCCCCTCAGTGCTCTCTCTAACAGGTGATGCTCTTGGCTTTGTTTTTCATGATACCAGCCTGAAGCTGCCAAGTTCTGTCAGCCACACTGTAAGACATCATTCTCCTCAAGGAAAGCTTTAAACACCCCTGATGCCTCTGTCACGAGTTAAATAGAGGTTGTTCCTCAGTACAGCTATAAGGACCAGATCCTGGAGATCTGCCAGCCTTTTTGGACTGAGAGGGAGGAGGGAGGTGCAGCTTTCAGTCTGCAGGATGGACCGTGTACTCTGTGTGTGTATGCACAGTTGTGCACACAATTTTTTATAAAGGAGTTTTTATTATAAGGATGGAGGGAAATACATTTCCCCAGGGTCCCTTGCCTGTGTATGCTACTTATGCAAAAGCCCTGTATTGTTTTGGCAACAAAGCAGAGGCAGCAGCAGGTGAGATAATTGATCAACCCCAGCATTGTTGTTGAGAGAAAAGCCAGAATTGGCCACACTGTCCTGTAAAAAAAATCTGAAGTCTGTGATACCTGCAGGCCCTCTCAGTGCTCAACACTCACTAATCTGACCACACAGGACACATTTATCTCCCTTTTCTCCTCAAAAGGAGAGTATGATTGTTATCTTGAATGTCTTTTGAAGCATTCTGGTAAAGAATGTGTCTGGCTTTCTTACACTGGCCATCTGCAGTGTCACTCTTCTGTAAAAGCCCGAGCAAGAGCAACCATCTGTGAACTTCAGAATCTGAATTCCTGGGAGTTTTTTACACCAGTAGAGGATAGTGCTAGTGCTGGGTTTGAGACAGGGAGGATTGCAGAAGGCTGAAGGAGGAACTCATAGGTGGCCAGAACAAGTGTAAAGTAGGTGCTGAAAAGGGCATGATAAATCCAGTAATTAGCTTCTGTCAACCAGAATAAGGGGAGAAGAAGTGAAAGTTGATCTCCCCTGGAGGTATTCCAGGAGGAGAACAGTAATGGAAACTAAACACCTTAATTTTTTCTTAGGATAAATTCATCTGCCACTGCAAGGTTTGCTGGGGTTGGAGGTGCTCCGTTCTGTGCTGGCAGGATGAATCTTCCCAGAACAGATCTGCCTGTGCACAGGGACAGGTCAGGACCACTGTGAGACAGTGCAATTGATTTGAGCAGGGTGCTCTCATGGAGTGTGTGCCTGCTTTACAAAATTACCAATTTCATGGCAATACTATTAAGCATAATTTTTGGAGCTGTGTAATTTAGTAATGGGCTAAGTCATCTGAGCAATGTACTAAACCGGACCAAGGTCAGCAAAGAGTTATTTCATGTGGGTTTGCCTCTGTTGTCTCTGCTGCCTGCTTGTAATAGATTTAACATTCAGTATAGATGTAGTGTTCAGTATAAATTAAAATCCTTAAAGTCTTTAGTACTGTGCAGGAAATAAATGGGCAGGATGAACAGTAGCACCATCAGTTCACTGCCACTGCTGGTACTCTGTGACTCTGCCCTTTTGCTTCTCAGGTCTAGGGAACTATTCATTTGTTTAGAATGGGGAGAAGACTAAGGATAGGTTGGACTCCCAAAGGAATGAGATAAAGGCCTTTGCCACAAAGGAAAATCTAAGGGCATAAACTGCAGATAAGCTGTTTCTGAGGTGTCTGCCTGTCCTGCTTTCCATTTTGGCAAAGAAAGTTATATGAACGTTGCAAAATTAACAATTGGATATTACATTCTAAAAGTACACCTGGGTGCATCTGTCTGTCTATCTATCTATCAATCTGTCTAGATTTACACACTGTAATTATAAGACTGCAGAATATCATCCCTGTTCAGGTTAAGTTTCAGGG